CTTTCTATTTCTGCATCTTTTATCGCCTGCTAGGAACTCTGGAATGTACCTCTTGTTTGTGTTTCAACAAGCAGCAATCAAAATGGAGGGAGGGACAGGCAAACTGGAATAAATAGGCCACAGAGGCCATTTTTGCTTTTATCAGATTATGTTGTCTATGTGAAATGGATTCATTTCTGTAGAGCATTCAGTTGCACTGCCCAGCAGTGTAGAAACTATTAGGATAGTACCAGTTCCACATGCATGACAGAGTAAGAAATATCTGTCATCCCTCTCCCACTTTCCAAACAAACCACACATGCAGAATGCACATGCGAATTCACATAAACATACCATTGCACACATATGCATCATATTCACAGTACATGCACACACATACACAAAAATCTCATGTGCACTCATGATATTAAATTAATGAACAATCTCTACCAAACATAGAATTGGAGTCTATGCCAATCTAACAGACTATACTTCCCTCTGCTCCAGGAATATAGCAGTATACAGAGCTACAACTTTGATTTCTGGTTTTTTTCTCTCTGTTTCGTGGATTTCAAACCTGCCATTGAATCTCATACTAATCTATGCCAATACAGTGGCACAATCTGAGACTTCTCACACATTCCATTGTGAAATGAGGTTAGAAGGACAAGCATAGGGCAAGAAATTTCAATGTTTACTGTTTTCTGATTTACTATTTACATTTTGCTTTCTTCAACTTTTTCTTCTCTCTTATCTAACTTTTGAAAGTGTTTTGTACCCTCCCTTATTTCACTAAACATTGTTTAATAGGCTAGAATTATGCCTATTAGATAGAAAGTTCTCTGTGATACCAGAGGGGTTTCTCCATAGTAATGTAAGCAGGGTTATTACCACTGAGAGTAACAACTTAGAAAGATACTTCCTGAAAGAATCAGCTACAGGTACCTCTAGATCCCATCACAAACAAGGACCCTACGAAAATAGTCAAGAAAGTCATGCTTAGACAGAGCTTATCAATTAATTTTTTCCACAGTAATCCTTTCTTATAAATAATAATAATAATAATATTATATTTTAAATAGCTCTGATGATGTCCCAGAGAGTTAAGATGAGTCAGAACATTTTATAATCATTTCACTAGTGAAAAAGCCAAGGCTTTTAAGTGCCATGAGATTTGGTCAAAGTTTTTGAAAAAATTAAGTGACCAGCCACAATATACTCTTTTGTGACATGTCTGTTTGTGTCTTGCCCACTTTCTGTTGGGTTCCCTGTCTTTTCAAGGTTATTTTGTATGTTTATGTCTTATATATTCTGTAAAGGAGTCCTTTGGCTTATTTTCCTCTCCCTTAGCATGTTTTGATAAACTTATTTTAATGGTTGGTGCTTTTTTTTTTTGAGAGGGAGTCTGGCTCTGTGGCCCAGGCTGGAGTGCAGTGGCTGGATCTCAGCTCACTGCAAGCTCCGCCTCCCGGGTTTACGCTATTCTCCTGCCTCAGCCTCCCGAGTAGCTGGGACTACAGGCGCCCGCCAACTCGCCTGGCTAGTTTTTTTGTATTTTTTAGTAGAGACGGGGTTTCACCATGTTAGCCAGGCTGGTCTCGATCTCCTGACCTCGTGATCCGCCCGTCTCGGCCTCCCAAAGTGCTGGGATTACAGGCTTGAGCCACCGCGCCCGGCCGGGTGCTTTGTCCTATGTGAGAAAGTTTTGCATAATGATGTGAAGGTCTTTGTCCACATTACCTTTCACATTTATTTCTTTTTGAGGGTAGTGGAAACTATTTCTTCAGTATAGGTCTGTGGACATCAAATTCTCTCAGTCGTAGTCTCCAAAAAATATTTTATTTCAAATTCAAATTTGAAATTTTTTTTTAACACTTCAAAGATGTCATTGCATTATCTCTGGCTTCCATTATTTTTGTTATGAATTTATCTATAAGCCTTATTGTTGTTATTTTGAAGTTAATGGATCTTTATTCACTAGATAACTTTATTTTTTTTCTTTAATGTTTGTTTTCAGCAGTTTCACAATGATTAGACTGAGTGATAGTTTTTTTTTCATTAATTTTGCTTGGGAATCATAACAGTCTTGAAACAGTGGTTTGAGATTATATCTTTCATTAATTTTGGCAAATTATCAGACATTATCTCTTAAAATATTCCTTTTGCTCCATTTTACATAAGATAAATCCTATCTCATATGGTTTCTTCACTCTTATCTGCAGTTTTCATCTGCAGTTTAGGCTTTATATCTTTTTCCAACCTAGCTTTTGGCTTACTAACCTCCTCTTCAACTGTGTCTACCTGCTGTCAAAGTCACCTATTGAATTCTTAACTTGTTTTTGTGGGTTTTTTTTTTTTCAGTTCTAGAATTTTCATCTGACTTTTGAAAAAGTATCCAACTCTCTGATAAACTACTATGCCATAAAAATTATTCAACTTGGCATCCAATTTCCAAAATAGATTAATCGTTATTTAAGCTGCATCTGCAATACCTGGATCTCTGATGCATATCCATATGTCATCTCTTTTATTCTCTTGCTTTTCAGTGACTTGTTCTTGTACCTCTGAAATGCCAGGTAATTTTCATATTGAATTCTGGACACTGTGTTTGAAAAACTGTAGAGATAACTTGAGGCTTTTAATCTTCCTCCAGAGAAGATTCACGTTTGCGTCTGACAGTCAGCAGAGCGCTGTAATTCAATCAGGAATCTTATTAATTAAAAGTTAGACTTCAGGGTTTTTTTTAAAGAGCTGGTCTATTTCAAGTTCATCCTTGCCCCCAGGATGTAACCCTTCAGGGGACCCCACCGAAAACCTGAGGTAGTTAACAGGGTACCTCTCCTTGGTAGAACCCAACCTTCAAGTTTTGCTCCCTGCCCCAGCCTCACAAAACACCTGCAGGCTCTATTCAACTTCTTGCCACATATGCAATGTCAGCTTTATCATTTTGCATTTCCTCGGGTTTGTCCTGCATTCATGGCACTCTGGGGCCTTACAATGCTATTTTTAAATAATTTATTTGGTGTTTCTAGCTGTTCTCGGTAGAGGGTTAGTCTGCATCATGACAGTCCACCTTAGGCAGAATCCCTTTCTCATTATAATTTTAATTTGCATTTCTCTTGTTGTTAGCAAAGTAAATTACCTTTTCATGTGTTTTGCAGGCCATTTTTATATCTTCTTTTATTAACTGTCTGTTAAATCTCTTGCCCATTTTCCTGTTAAGTTGGTGGTCTTCTTCATCTCCGTTTTTAGAAGGCCTTATATGTTAAAGATTTTAGTAACACTTTGTCTATGATAAAAGTTGCAAATATTTTCCCTCAGTTTTTAGCTTTTTAAACATGTCTTTTGCTATTTTTTCCATTAAAAAGTTTATTATGTTTATAAAGTCAATTATTTTGTTCTTGTTCCCTATTACTTCTGTGTTCTAAGGCATAATTAGCAAAGTTTTCCTGCTCCCAGGCTTAGGGGAGTTCACCAATGGTTTCTTCTATAATTGTGTGTTCAAGGAGTATGTTGATGAACAATTGAAAAATGGTACATTTCTAGAATAGGCAGTGTGAGAAAGGTATTATATAGTGTTAACGAGTCCAGTTGGAAGTTCCAAGTTTTATTTTTCCTTTTCCACCTCATTCTCAGGAACTAGTGAAAAGCACTGTGGACACAGTGACTTTCATCTTGTCCTTGAAGAGTTGAGGAGACCATGAGTCCTTTTTTCCCCTTGTGTTATCGTTTTCCCGAGTTCTTTCATCTACTCCCATACTACGAATGTTACCCTATTTTGGTGTCCCCCAAATATCCACATGTTCCATTCATAATTCTCTCCTCATAATTCTTTCCTCAATGCTAGATGCAAAACTTATTTGATATCTCACATAAATGCCCCTGCACTTCAGGCTTTAAATCTAAAAGACTTTCTTCTTCTTTTACCACTCTGCTTGTTTTATATGTCATCAATTAATGACCTCTCTGCCATTCATCTACATAAGCTCAGAGCCCAGTCGCCTTTGAATCATATTTCTTAATTGTCAACCTCAATACATCATTACCAAGAGTACACATTTTGTCTCTGAAGATCTCTTCCTTTGTAGACATTATAAACTGGATCTTTCCTGTCCTTGCTTTTTTCTCGTCAATAGGCACATGAAGTTTAACATACTCTGGGCACAGTAAGTAATCAGGTAATGAAAATAAATTTAATCCTCTCTTTAAAAATGTACAGAGATCATAAAACCTTTAAAATTATGGGTTTTCTAGCACTTTATATATGTATTTGTATTTACAAATGTCCTTGCGCTTCAAGTTATAAAAACTTAAGAGAGATTTAACTAAGAAGCAAGAAATGATTGTCCTTTTGAATACCTGGAAATGTTTTTGCCATATGAAACACAATTCCTTTACTACACTGAAGAGTCTCATTGAAGCACCTTGTGAAGCTGTGCAAATAGAGGACAGTCACAAAGGAAATCTACTGATGACTAAATTCTCAACAATCCAAAATGGGAGCATCAGAGGTCTCCTAAGGAAACAACTAAACCATTCATTTCTGTTTAAAAACCAAACAACAACAACAACAAAAACTCTCACTACCAGGCAAATGAATCTTTCAGCTTTTAGGCATGCCTAAGGCAAAATTCGTTTTCTCTTTTTCCTCTTCTAAGGTTAAACGACTTAAACTCTCTCTCACACCCACCCATGCATACAGACACACTTCCCTAAATTTAAACTGTAGGTTGTTCTGAGGAAATCAACTTTTCCTGCTGTCATGCTACAAGATTTCTAATTTGAGAAACTATATATGTATATATGTGATCATCTCACAAATTGAAGAGAACTTACAAGGCCGCACTAAAGTATTCAAGCAATTCAAGCCTCTGTTTCCTCTTTTAACATTTCTGCAGAAGAAGTTGAATCCCAGGAGTATTTTTGAATTTCAAAGGGCAATGGAGGGTGACAGAATTGATTGGCCCTCAGGCTGTTATAATTCTCTATTAATCAGGGACTGTGGTCTTTTTCTCTTTCAGCTCCAGGCGAGGACACACCTAGAGTGCCTGGGAAAAGTGAAGGCTCCAATGACCTAGAAAATACTCCAGGTCCTGATGGTAAGGTTCTGAGCTATTGGAGCCCATGCAAACTACAAATCTGGCATATTTTCTATGTGTAATCTAGGAATAAGGGAGCTTATCTGTTCTATAAAGCAACGTATTTGGTTAGAACAGGGTAAATTTTAAAAACCATTTTGTATTACAAACTAATAAAAATGGCAGCCTCTTATAAAAAAAAACAAACCTGTTGCTGTTTTAAAACATCATATGTCTTGGTTTAATCATATCTTATAATACTGAGGACTCAATAGATACTTTCAAGACTAAAGTGAACTGAAGTCTACCGAGTGAACTTTATGGAAGCATTACTTAACTTCTGCAAAAGGTACTTAGCCTCCTGTTACCCTGCTCCACTCAGCATTAGGGAGAGCCTTACCTTGGGTGTGGGCTAAGATTGTTCCTGTACCTTCATCACTTCACTCCACTCTATCACATCCGATGCCTTGGTTAAAAACATAGTGAGTCTTTAAAAGCACCTTAAAAATAAATTTTCAAAAAACCTTTAAAAACATACATCTAATTTTGTAGGCATCTAAAGAGTCTGAGCCTCAGGAATATTAATATCCCTTTTCCCCTGCACAATGATGCTAAGGGCTCTTTGAAATACCATCACTTACACTAGAGAAACAGCTATTTGAGCCTATCTGATGTAATATGTATTGGATTCCACTGGCCCATAGAGTTTAGGAGAACCAGAATTGGTTAGGTGATCCGTCATTTAAGTATCTTGCCATTTGGGTTATTTTAACCAAAGGAAAAAACAAATTACTTTGAGTTGATAGTGACCTTGGAAAACATTTAGCCAATGGTGGATGTTATTTGTAGTCTTAAATAGAATTTCCTATACCAGGTATTCCCTGCTCCCACTGGCTTATCATCACCTGAATTGCCTCCCTTAATTATAAGCCAGTTGGCTTATATAGCCCAAATTGACCTTTTACTCATGGCCATGCATTGCCCATGAGAACGACGTTTCTAAGCCCCAGACGCGTCCATTAAGAGCCACTGCATGTTAGTTATGAGCAGTTGAACTAAACCTGCTTCAGCTTGGTTGTGATGCTATAGGCATGGTTCTTAGCTAGTTCTTTACAAATCATGTTTTGAGGAATATCAGGCCCATGAATAAAAGAGAAGTAAATGTGAAATACTAAGTTTTAGTCCTCGCTTGGAGATTCGCCATACACAGTAGGGGACTGCAGGCTCTCAGAAGTCTCAGAGGTAAAGAGACTTGTTTAACATGATTTATAGTTGCTTTTCCCAAACTTATTTGATGATGGGATGCTTTTTATAGTACCATTTATTAGTAGGTTTTAGAACTAGTATCCCTTGATTGGAAGAAGAAACACTATTTTATCCTGCACACTCCCACATGGAGAAGGGTAAACTTACAATAACTTTGCAGAGCAGGATGGACGGTGGATGAATGCTTATACTTACATAGGGTTGCTGCATCTGGCCAGTTTATTTATGGGGTTTAAAATGAGTTCATACATCATTAGAAACTCAGGGCAGTTTGCAGGTGAGAACAAGGACACCTGCTTTTAAAACCTTCCTTATTGGGAGAGAGTTCGGTGGATGCTGTATAACATCATTCTCTCAAGCCTCTTTGAAGTGTGAAAATCAGCATCTGCCACAACTTTACACTAATTTCATGTTTGTGAAAAAGCAGATATAGGCTGTTGGTTTTGTGCAAATACATGAAAACCGCCCAAATGAGAACAAACAGTGGTTACTTATTCAAAGGTAACTATAACAAAGGTGGCCATTATCACTTGTGTTTGGCAGGCTCAAAGGCAGGCAGGGGATGGGAAACCCCCCCTTTATAGATTAAAAAAAGGGAATACTTCAAGCATCCTCTGATTGGAGGTTGTTGGCATAGAGAAGCTGGACGTGGTCAACTAGAAGAGGGGCACCTTAAGTGATTGTATTAGGGAATACATGTGGCTTTCCCTGGTTGGTCCCAAGTTGGAAGCAGGGGCAAAAAATGGGAATGCTGACAGTCCCTGACCAAGTCCTGACCATTCTGAGTCAATTGTTGCAGAGACTGTGTTTTGGTTGCCTAGGCTAGCTTCTGCAGAGGTTTTACATAAGAATTCTATCATTATATATGATCTGGTCATTGTCTATTTGTATATTCAGTCTCTCAGCTTATAATGTGGACTCTGATGCTTGAAAAAATATCAATCTAATTAAACCTACTGACCCTTGGAAATTTTTAGAGTGAATGCTATGCCTGCTCTGGGCTACTTCTGGAGGATGGCAGTAGTCATGCATTCTATTTTTATGCAAATGCTCACATAGAATACACTGAGTCAGGTAAAAGCACGTTTTATCACGACTATGAGATCTGGTTAGATGGTCGGCTTTTTTATTTCATGGCCGCTCACTGCCACTGCAGCAGCTATCTGCAAGTCTGCAAGGTCTGTTTGGAATTCTGAAATTGAGAGTACAGCAAACCAAACAGGCCTGATACTGACATTTTGGAGGGAGCTGCTTACCTCTGCATGTCAGTGATGTGCTTTGCTTTGCCTTCTCTCTTTATTTTCTTAGATATCTATTAAAGCCTTTGAATTTATCCAAGAATCATAATATGTACATCCAAACTGTCAACCCCAAAATCTGGTCTGAAGTGATAACTCAGTTTCTACAGTTGAGGGAAGAAGGCAATCCTGCCCTCCTCCACTGGGTTAGGCCGTTTTTGTGTTGCTATAAAGGAATACCCAAGACTGGATAATTTAAAAAGAAAACAGGTTTAATTGTCTCATCGTTCTGCAGTCTTTACAGGAAGCAGGGTGCCAGCATCTGCTTCTGATGAGGACCTCAGGAAGCTTACAATCATCATGGGAGGGGACGGGGGAGCATGCATCTCACATGGCCAGAGAATAAGCAAGAGAGAGAGGCAACATGTCACACACTTTTAAACAACCAAATCTCACGAATGAGCTCATTCATCATTAAGAAGATGACACTAAACCATTCATGAAGGACACATTCCTGCAATTCAATCGCCTTTCACCAGGCCCCACCTCCAACACTGGGGATTACATTTCAACATGAGATTTGAAGGGGATGTCTGAGGTATATCCTTTCCTCCCACCAGTAAAAATCTACAAGAATAGTCCCCAAATCTTGAATGAATGAAACAAATGGAAAAGAGGCAACAAATAGGAAATCAGGAAAGTATCAAATCATGGGCCATTTTGATGTGCCTCAGAGATTTAGGTTTAATGAATATTTAACTTTTTTTTTTTTCTGGTGACAGTGGAAATGAATAGTCAGGTTGACAAGGTAAATGACCCAACAGAGAGTCAACAAGAAGATCAACTAATAGGTAAGATGCCCCTTGTGGTGAGATTTTCAATTGATCGACCAGCCATAAAACTATTTGCAAATAACATGTTGGATTTCCCTCGGTTTTTGCCAAGTTCCCACAGCATGGCTTGGGATAAACTTTGAAAATCTTTAAACCAAATAACACAGCGTAAGGGGAAAGGATCACCCCTAGAAGCTTGCCATCTTGAAGGGGAAAAGATGAGCTACAGCACATTCAAATCATGTATACCCTGGTTTTCTGTGCTTTGACAAGTAAAATATGTCTCCATCCATCTCACCCCTGGCCTCCTGGAGTGGTCAAATTATTTCAGAAACTCCAAGGTGATTCTGAAGCATTGCTTTTCTAGAAGCTACCTGCTGAGTTGCTTGGTATATCTGTCTTTAAGCATAACACTCAATCTTTGCCCTGGAGTTTGTATAAAGGAATATGAGTGTGTTTGGACAGAAACATGCCTGCCTTAGGTCCTGTTTTTTCACACCACTACCTGTGGACTCGTGCATCTGCAGGAAGGTTTGTTACATTGAATGAGCTTCAGGGAACTCCCAGGAAAATAAAAAGCCTGGTCCAGACCATGTTTAGGAGTTTTTCCAGACCAACATTCTAAATCTCTCAGTAGAGACTAAAGTATATTTAGAATGATGAGGGTAACTGAGTCCAAAGCCAGTACTGCTTGCTCCATGGCAGCCAATTACATCAAGAGACAAGGTGTTGAGGCAAGGAAATGACTTTATTCCAAGAGCCAGCAAACCAAGAAGATGGCAAACTAATGTCCTAAGGAATCACCTTAAATTTATAGAATTTTAGGCTCCTTTTATCTTTGAGGAAAGGGAAGAGGGAGGTGGTTGAGATCAAGAGGTGACAGATATCTGGGCTACAGAAAGGGTCCAAGGGGGAGTTGTGAAACTTCTTTGCCCTTGGTCAGGTCACATTGCTCCTATAAATCTTTAACATAATGTTGTTACTTGTGTGCTTACTGTCTTTATCTCTTGGGTGGTTAGTTTTGGGAAGGAACTATTGTCATCTTTGTTTTAAAGTTAAACTATAAACTAAATTCCTGCCATTGTTAGCTCACCCTACATGAAGAGATGAGCAAAAGCAATTAACCTAAAAGATATCACTGGACGGGGGCAGCGGGGAGCAAAATGGAGCTGGTCATGCTAAGCCTCCTTTACACTGCTACATGAATGGTCTATAATCCTCTTCCATACCCTGAGGGCTGATGAGAAGAATTAGAAGAAGGAAATCGTGCTTGCTTTTATAACTGTTCCAACTCCTGGTTTAAAATATTTAGTTGAAAAAAAAAAAAAAACCTATGGAATAAATGAATCATGGGTCATCGAGTGTAAGGCACAAATGATACGTTGACACCCTTGCCCCCTATACCTCCTTGCACTCCCTGCATGGTCTTGATGGTTCTCTACACTTTCCTAAGAGGCTTGGCTGTACCATTTTTGTGCTCCAGCATCACGGAAGAATGAAGTTTGGGAAGGTGTGAAAGAATACATGTCTTCTTTCTTTATGGTCTTGAACATCCTTTAAAACTAAATGCAATGGTATCTGTGTCATGCATGTATAGCATAAGACTGCTAAAAAGTATAAGCTCATACAAACATGTTCTTATAAACATTTCTTTTTTTTTTTTTTTTTACTTTCTTTATATATTTAAAATATCCTGCTAAGCTGCAGAAATGATATGGTTGAGGAGTTTCCATTAAAAAGTAATGAAGTGAGACTAAACCTGAACAATTTAAATGCAAGCACCTCGGTGTTTCCTTTTACCCTTTTGCTGCCAATAAACTATAGACTTCTTGTCTAGATTTTTTTCTTACAGACATTATTACTTTCCTGTGTGACCAGTATCCAGATAAAGTGCCAGGATTCCTCTGTTTTTCTTGGTTAATATCAAAATGATATTTTTCTTGAAAATAAAAATGAACTTATATGTTGACCCAAATGAATCAGGTGTCAAAACTTTTTTTTTTTTTTGAGACAGACTCTCACTCTGTCACCCGGGATACAGTGTAGTGGCACGATCTTGGCTCACTGCAACCTCCGCCTCCCTGGTTCAAGTGATTCTCATGCCTCAGCCTCCTGAGTAGCTGGGATTACAGTTGCATACCACCATGACTGGCTAATTTCTTGTATTTTTAATAGAGATAGGGTTTTGCGATGTTGGCCAGGCTGGTCTTGAATTCCTGACCTCAAGTGATCTACCTGCCTCAGCCTCCCAAAGTGCTGGGATTATAGTCCAGGTATCAAAACTTAAAGTCCAAAATTAGTTTAAGGAAACTAAATTCTAGGAAGGAGAAGTGACATGCACAGGGTCACCTGGCTCATAAATGGAAATTTAAATACTCCAATTCAAAATTGTGCTCCCTAAGCAATAGCAAGTTTCTGGACACAGTTGTCACAGAGGCAGAATGAATGACTTGTGCAACGTCACTGACTCCCACAGCAATATTTACACAGAAGGGTTTGTTAAGGTGATCTGGTCATTTGACAGGAAGAAGGAACCTTTGCTCCATGAATCATACCTTCAAGGAAATTAAAGAAATACAGTGAAATAGAGAGTTCAAAGACATAATACAAGAATGTTTGGCATTGTATAATTTGTAATTGTAAAAAATCAAGGGTAGCATAAGGATACCACAGGGGGAGGGTTAAATGAGTCAATGGAACACTTTCCAAATGTAAATGTTTTCCAACAAGTATTTGAGGGCAGTAAAGATGGTTATGGAATCTGAACCTTTGGTTCTGGAGAAACATGGAAGACTGAATGTGGCTTCTAGGTTGAACTTTAAGAGGCTTGTAACTTCCATTTTTGCACTCTCATAATGCTCGCTGCCTGGAATCCAGACACCTTGGAAGAAGCCCAGGTTATCCTATAGAATGAAGGAGGTCACATGGAGAAAAGTCCTAGAAAATGAGAGTCCCTTTCAGATGTTCTGGCCCCAGCAGGTACCACCTCAAGCAGACGAACTGCCCAGCTGAGTCAAGGCCAGATGGTAAAATCATGAGAAATAATGAATCATTCATATTATAAGCCACTAAATTTTGGGCTTCAGATTGTTGATACAGAGACAGGCCTTATGGCCACAGTCTTGCATTTTAATGCCCACCTTGGACCTTGAACCACTCAAGGTAAGGAGTTGGAACTGATACCTCTGCATAAATAAATCTGGGACTTCCAGCTCAAGAAATTAACAGAAAGACTTGGATCTGCACCAGGTACTGCATGGGGAAAGAAAAAGGCTCCCAAGATAGATAGAAACCACAAATACACTGTGAGTTTGAAACACAATTTTATGTGATCCAAAGTCATGCAGTAATAAACAAATTGAAAAATGAACTTAATAATTGATTACAGACCAGTGTGATCCCTGGTGTATGTGGCAAATGGAAATATGAAACTACCCCATGGAATTTCTGCAAAAGAAAAACAAATTCTGAAGCTGAATTTACAGATTTAAGACTTACAGAACACACAAAGAAATGACCCATTTTGAGTGAGAGTCAGTAGGTAAAATTACAGGACAATTAGCACTATGAGAACATAAGAGTGTAGGGAATTTTGAAGATTTTATAAAATAGCTACATTTGAATGACAAAACAGGTAAAAGCAGACATAAAACAATCAGAAAAGAGCAACACTAAATAATTAACAGCAATAGAAAAAACAAATTAAAATGTAGTAATGTAAAAGACACACGAAGAGACAGGAAGGAGAGCAAGAGAATAACCAAGACATGTTAAGTTCAATAAGAGTTCTACAAGGAGATAAAGCAGTGTAGGGCTATGTATTTGATTGATACCCACCAAGCCTCTCCAGGCTTAATTTAATTTGGACTGAGATTACTGAAAACCAGGGACCGCAGATATAAAACACAGAACCACAATGAAATCCCGCCATGCTCCCACTAGTATTGAATTATAAAGTTAACACCACCAAATGTTACAGAGGATGTGGAGCAGCTAGAACTCTTATACGTGGCTGGGGAACATATAAAATGGTTCAACCACATTTTAAAAAATTATTAGTTTCTGGTAAAATTAAGTATATATCCATCCTATGACCCAACAATTCTATTCCTATTTGAGAGAAATGAAAACCTATATTCACAAAAGCCTTGTACAAGAATATGCATAGCAGATGTGCTCACAAAAGCCCCAAACTTGACACAACACAAATGTCTAGCAGCAGGAAAATGAACTTTAAAAAGTGGCATATACATACATGGGAATTCTAGTTAGCAACGAAGAGGAACAGATTAACAAAGGAGCAACATGAACGAATCTCAGAAGCATTACACTGAGTGAAAGGAGATAGACACAAGGAGATACTTGTATGATTCCATTTGCAGGGAGTTCTAGGGCAGAAAAGAACTAATTTATGGAGATAGAAATCAGATCATTTGTTCGTTCCAGCAGGAGTGGGGTAATAGGGAAGGGAACTTTCTGGGGTGATGATATAATGTATATCTTGATGGTGGTGTGGGTTTAATGTATGCATTTTTCAAAACAGATTGAAATGTATGCTTAAGATCTGTTTTCCTGTAGGCGGACTACACCTCAATTTTAAAAATCTAAAAAAAATAAAACATATAGGCTCTTCTGGGGCACAGTGTCTTCTTAGCATTCCCTCATGGGTAGTGAAAAAGGCAGATAATTTAATAAATACAGTCTGAAGTGGTGGCATAACCATCAATGACTTTTGCAAAGCAGCATTATGAAAATTGTTATTTTTATATGCTGATCCCTGGAAACTAGAGTGTGTGCATGGGCCTGAAAAGAGAAGCCACATGAACTCAGGGTTACAGTTTTCAAAGAATACTTTGAAGAATTGAGTGAATCGTCTCCATCAGCCAAAGCTCATTGTCAATGTGGCATACATTTATTAGCAGTGATTTATATGCTCTTTAAAGATACCATGTGCCAGCAATTACAGCTCAGATATCCAAAGCTCTTTGATAGTCAAGTAAGATATTCCTGGCCCTATGTGTGGGGTGAGAGACATTTAAATGGCTATATTAAAAAGGTATTCCTTGCTAAGCCTGTGAAGGTGTCTTATCTTTAATCTAACAAATGGCTTCTCTTTGTCTTCAGCAGGGGCACAAGACGAAGCGAAGGAACAAAGAAATGGAACTAAATGACAATCCTCGGTATCGCAAGGCCTCTCCTGGCTCTGGGGGAGTTCGGGAAGATAGCAGCACACGCTGTGGAGGAGGGTGGGGGTGGGGGGAAGGCAAGTCCCACAGAAGGACGGGGAATCCTTTACTCTAATTTCTCCAGCTGCATTTTGTTCCGTTTATCTGCAGAAAAAGAAAGAAAAAAAGAAAAAAAAAATTCCTTTAATTTGGTGGAGGGACCCACGTTAACGCATCTTTCAGGCATTATCCTTGTAATCTCTGTCTTTTCTCTTACAACTTGGCCCCAGGGTCACCGTGGCTTGGTTGAACAATCACACGTGTATCCTGGCCCCGTCTGCTTTCTTGGTTATTTCACAAAGCTGGTCACACAGTGGTGTATTCAAAGGAAGGGGAGGAAGACAGTTGGTTAATGAGCTGCAGGCTACATTTTAGGAATCAATGAGCCCAGCAGCAGTATAATCCCCAGACAGAGGAGGCAGGATAGAAAATGGGCAAAAGCCTTGGAAACCACTTGGAAAAGGTCTGGACAGTGAGGTGAAAATATTTTCTTCAGGGATTCCCAAGGCACAGTTTGTTCCAAGTGGCTGGTGAGAAATATGGAAGGTGAATTTTTTCCAGAGCAGAGTGCAGAGGCATAACAGAAGGGTGGGCCCTGGCAGCCATCTGGGTCTCTTCCTTCCTAACCAGGGTGGCAGGTGCATCCTTCTTTCGCATTGACTTTCAGCAGAGCTTACTTGGTTCACGAGGTCTTCACATGGAGACCACCAGTGAGAGGTGACTCTTTGCCGGATAACTGTAAAGGATGGCCCTTTGCTAGGTGTTGCAGTTAAAAGCTAAGACAAGGGGCACTGCATTTAGGACCCAAACATATGCCTATGAATATCAAAAGCTCCTCCTGAAATCTCTGTATGTTTTCCATAAAAGAACATCCTGTCTTCACCCAAGGCTTGACAGCCCACAGAGTAGTCTCATTTGAAATTACAGGAAATCAGAGTTTTTGCTTGCAGTTCTGTCTTCCTGGTCTGTGTTTAAATGGTGTCACTTGTTTATGCCAAGTTCAAGGCTGATTTGATGGTTGTTCCCCTCACCCAGAAAACCCTGAAGGGGAGGATACAGCCCTGAAGGGGAACAGCAGTACTAAAAACCCAAGATGCCAGTGAGCACAAGGGATGGCGATCCTGAGGCGGCCAGGCGTCATCACCGGTATCTATCCTAGAGCCAGTATAAGGCCAGACGCCTACTTCCCACAGCCTCCCCGGGTTCCAAAGTCATGTCATTGTTTTCAGTGGAAACATATCGTTTATTTCATATCTTCTTAAATCCATCTTCCTTATAAGGGCTTTAGAGTTAAAACTTATTTATATTGTTTTTCCTAACAGAGGGAGAAAAAGAGTGGATTGAGTATTATTTCTAAAATAAAAGGATGTTCTGTTTTCTAAATATTCCATCAAATTCTTCAGTTTTGTACTTTTTTGATGGAAAATTCATCTTCTTATCTTCCTATGACTTTAGTTTTAGCCTTTCTGAATTTGTTACCCCTTCTGGATGGCTTATTTGATATATTGGAATAGTTAACAAGCTATACTTCAGCACACGCAATATATTCTAACAAAAATTTTTTAAATAAAATCAAGACATTAGCAAGAATGACATTTACGTGACCTCATAATATGGGATTATGGCCTTCTGTTGCTATTCCAGTTTGATATGGAAGCATCTATATCCTCTATTGCCATTAGATGTTGCTTTTTGGAAAAGCAAAGAAAAGGCTCATTTTAAGGAATCCAAGAAATGATGTCATCCAAATATTGACAGTTTCTATATTTCACGCCATCTTTATAACTCAGTTGAAAGTTGCCATCATTCTTATGAAGTATTTGACAAGTACAATCTGCTAGAAGCTCGTTTTTCTCGTGACTCCCAAATGTTAGTGCTACTCAGCCTCAGTAATGAGTTACAGTTGAAAAAAACATGAGGGAAACAGAGGGACAGAGATTTTCTAATGAACAATGATGGAAGAGACCTAATGTCCTCGCTAGAAACAGCCAGGATGGGAATTATCCAGCCCTGGCATTCTCCTTATCATCAATGACAGTCATTTAATTCATTTATTTTAAATTGGGTGGGGTAGAAGTGGAAGGAGGGAATTCTCTGCCTAAAAATTCTAGAAGAATGAAAGTAATCTTTGTATCTAGGAAGCTAAGAGAATGAGGAATAAATATCTTCAGCCCTACTCCTGAATTTGATTTATCTTCAATCTGTAATTAGATTGTGTTTTCATTTTTGCTTCGTCATGCTTGTTGGTTGCTATTTGGCTATACAGTTTTATGCTTTAAAACAAATGATAAAGTTAATTTCCAATTCAACAGTGAAATATTAACAATCTAACTATAGCCAGATCAAAGACACCTGAACACAGAAAACCTTCATTTGCTGGTGCTGCCATTGGCTGGCTGTACAATGGAATAGATTTGAAAAGCTGATTGATTTTCCTGCACATAAATTCTGGATGTCAATTTCCACCCAAACTCCAATCCAGCTATGTGGCATGAAGGGTTACAGGAGGGAGGGAGGAAAATAGCCCTATGTTAGTCATGTTTGCATACAGAGGACCAAAGTAGGCCTTCAACATAATAGTTCTAATTAAAATGGTCCTCGCTGTAGGAGAGACAAAGGGGCTTTTCCTCTAGCTGGTAACTATTCAGATGATGGACAAGTCTTCTTTCATAAAAGATTACAAAGAAGGCATCCGAATCACTGTCTGTGATACTGGGTCACATATTAATCACCGCAGCTAATTGTAAATCTTTCTATGAAACACTGAAAAGCCTCTTTGTGAATTAATACAGTTCTGCTTGATGCACTTGATTTGAAAAGACATTTCTCTGTATGTGGTGCATGTCGGCTTTGCTTTGAAAAATAACAAAATTAGCAGAATATGTTCAATATATTTTCTTGGGGAATAGGGTTTTTATTACATGATTCATTAAGGATTTGCCTTACCCTGACATTTGTGATATAAAGGAAAATCAGAAAAAAAGTAATTTTCTTGATCAAGGTATGTTTTTACTTAATGCAAATAAATGTAGTCTGTTGCTTGCAAGGAAAAAAAAATGGCTTCTGATATCTGGTATAAACTGCTAAATAGGATAATACGTGCCTCTTTTGTTAAACCAGCATTTAAATGCTGGACTGCTTCTAAATCTGTTTGTTTCTTTTCATCTGTGCCATACACTAAAAAACAACTGTTGCCTTCATACTATATTTGTTAGAGCAGAATACAAATAAAATTTGAGAGGATAATGTGAAATTATCTGTGTTTTGTGAAATTTGTTCTTTAGCCACAAGCAATGAGTAATGAAAAATACTCACTTAATACAATTTGATTGCAAATATATGTGAGAGTAAAATTATTCCTGTAAGTCAGCTTTAACTTACTGATAGTTTTCCCTTACTAAGACTGGTCAGCGTGTTGGCCGTGGTTTTCAAATTTTAAACTATAAAGTAGTTTTGTATAGATACAAATCCCAGTGTCTAAGTTTTTGCTGAATACCATATAATTACTTACCCCTAGCATCAGCCTCTGAGATGCAGGATGTAAGTTGCTGAGATAAAGCCATTGGTCCTGTGAATGTTGGTCTATCTTTCAGAACCCATGACCATTGCTGGAATTTTTAATGAGCACCTTTTATGAGCCAGTCACTACGCTGACACGACAACCATGGCAGCAACGATTCTCAGTCTACCGTTCATGGAACTGGCAGAATTACAGAATTATTAAGAGCTTAGCAATGGGTCACCAAAAAACCACTACAGGAAAAACTCAGCGTTCCTTTGAAAATGGAATATGCTTTCCGCCAAATTTAGCTCCCTTCATCTCCTACAGAAGTGGCACCAGTGTTATTATTTGAGGAGGCAATAAAGAAAGCCAACCACTT